TAGTTTTTTAACAGTATTTTCAGAATCTGGCATAGCTATAGCTATCTTATTATTTAGGCCTAAAGAAATGGAAGAAAACTCGTTCTCTTCAGGTATATTTTAATCATTATTTTACACTCTAAGCCCAAAAAATTATTCATATCTATCACCAAACTAAGAACTTCCGCAAGATCTTAAAACTTTTAAACAATGAGTACTCCTTTATGGCGAGAAAAAGCAAGATATCAGTTAAAGCTAGGGGATTTTCTACCTCGTGTATCTTTTGCTTTCCTCTTGTTATACATTATTGTAATACAAGCACAGCAATAAGATGTAGTTTTTAGGAATAGAACTAAACAATTTATGCCCTGAATTTAAAATGACGTAAAAAAGTTCTTCAAGAAATGTAACAAACAGTAGATAAGTAAAAAAAATTAACTACCTGAGTTACAAATTTCAGCCACTTCTTGGACTTGTCCTTAAATTGTTGTGGAGAGTTTATGTCAGGCAATTCAGTTAGCTTGCTTAGATCATGGTTGCCACTTTTCTTTCCGTTCTCCAATAAACGAAGTGCCTCAATAACAGCTCTTCTCTGTTGTCCGTGCCCGTATATTAAAAAATCAGGTGTACGGCCTAACCTATTGGATAAGATAGCATGTTATGTGTGTGTAATTAGCAACTGGAATCAAACTTACACAGGACAAGTATCTTATAACATAAGGGAGTAATGAGAAAGGATTTAACATGAAATTCTGAAAACTGTAAGAACTGTTAATTTTTTATCATTGCACTTTTAAATGGGTGCGCTGATCAACTAGTGTCTTACATTTCCATCATTATCAGCAAATCTTTGAAAGTCTTCTGAAGTTAGTAAAATTCACCAATTTCTACAGATGTATGATGACAACAAATTTAACTAAAACCTAGAGTTAACAATAACATTATACAGAACTTGTTATTTCAATTTTATAAATTACACAGTAAACAAGATGAATTCTTTCTTCAGTGCCAATCTTCCTTTTTCAGTACTATAACCCACAGCTAAAGAAAAATATGTAGTCATTCTTCACACAGTTCCTCAGACAAAATATGAAGAGTCTGAATTAAATTATTTACTTCAACCGGTATCCATATTGTTGTTTTAGCCGTTATTGAGGAATAGCAGAGCGTTAGAAGTTTCTATGTGTTCCATTAGATCATATTGAAAGGCTGCTTAATCCAATGAACCCAATTCACTGCTCAATCCACGTGGCTAATCTAAGGTATTGTTCCACTTGCCCAATATGGTTCCATCTGAAGCCCCTCCCAACCACCCTTATGCCAAATCAAACACAATGACCGTAGCCAATTCCAGTATAGTTGTGAATGTCGATAAGTTCTATATTTGGTGAAATTCTTACTAACTAATTTTATTGCATCTCTAGACTCAATTATTTCATGATCAATATTTATTTGAAGAAAATCCTCTGTAGTATTATATATTAGAATTGATATATCCACACCAACGTACGTACTTTCTCAAGTTTATCGTATTGCTAGCTTTTTATGTTGCCATGTGTCAATATATGTGGTCCCTACTGGATGACAATTTTTATCTCTTGAATCAATTTGTTCACACCTCGTCAGCTACCCTAACTTGCTCCGTGTTTGTAAAGCCGGCATGCATTTCCCTCCGTTCATGTCATAAAACCAACAATGTGATGGAATAGAGTTCAAATAATCTTACTCAGTATTCAGTAACACAAGTCATGTACAAGTCTAGAAGTCAATTGGTGGAAAGGTAAGAAAATATTACAATGTGTACCTCTAATAATTTATATGTTTTATCTCTTTCAAAATTATTGATGCTTAGAAAGATAGCTCTGTATTGAGATCTCTAGGAGACCAGGTTTAAAAATATTTGGATTCACTGAGGTTTTACACGGCAAGCTCCAAACCAGGCGCTTGCGCTAGGTACTAATAGCCAATAGAGTATAGAAAGGCTATGGAGAGGCACACAACAAGGAGGCAAGGCTTAAAAATCAATCTGTGAAACTTTTAGCATAAACATTATAGAAAATTCCTTTCGCATCCACAATTTGCTTGCACGTGTCTACAATGTGAATAACCAATCTTACTTTCAAGCATTCCTCATGATATACATATTGACCGGTTTGTTAGGTCCATAACTTTTACTCTGTCTTTTAGAAAAACCCACATTCCATTTCACATTCTTTGCAAGTGCTAAGAAGCCATCTTATGTCAATGATATGTCAATTAACCTTCCAAGTAGGCATGAAATACCAAAAGTCATATCAAACTGTTTGATTCCTTTCCTCTGAGTATTCATAAGTTTGTCCATCTAAACATTAGAAACATGAAAAAAAAGTAATTGCAATTTATCTCTGCTATTTTATTTCTGGTTTTATTGGAAAATGAACATGCACACAAAATCGAATGTAATTGTAGATTTTAAGTTTTTCATTTTGTGAATTTGAAATATACATACTTCTCGGCATGCAGGCGGCAAAGCTGCAAAGAAAATGAGTGAAATGTGCTGATAGTAAGCTCTTTTGCAGCTGCCTTCCCAGTAACTGCTCCAATCCGCTCTCTCATTTCAGAAGCAGCAGCAGTAGTGAAAGTCATAGCCAGAATATGGGATGGACCAATACCCTAGAAAACCAGTAAAAAGGAGAGGAACCAAAACACGATCTAGAACGATGAGCAGACCAGTTGTTTGCCAAAACTTCTATTAGAGAAACAAGTATTATACATGATTAAGATAATCATGGAATTGCTGTAAAAGAGTACCTCATTCAGCAGCATCAGAACACGTCCAACCATGGTAGATGTCTGATATGCAAACAAGAAAGAGAGAGAAAGTTATAACCACAGAAGACAAGCAGATATGAAATTAACAAAAATGGAAACTAAAGACCTTCCCACTTCCAGGACCAGCAACAATAATTAAAGGGGTCGAAATGTCACTGCATGCTGCCTCTCTCTGCCTGTCACTGAGTGAGCAAATATACTTTGCATACTCATCAGGCATGTTTTTAGTAACTGTATCCTCAGAATACCTCAACGCTTCACCTCGACTGTCACTATCACCACTTGACTTTAAAATATGCTCGGTTTTTAACTTTTCATCCTTAAAAAAAAGATCTATATTGGCCTTGTCCTCCCCAAGGGTCACATTGACACACTGAATTTCTGTAGGCTTCATATCACATTTCTCTTTTTTAGATTTTTCTGCTGACTTCTGCCCACATAATGTCTCAATTTCCTCTAAAATTGAGTCATCAAAATCATCACTGAAGACATCACATTCTGTTAAGGAGCTGCTCAAAGTACAGCAGTCAGGCTGCCCTACTTGATTACTATAATTTGAATTAAACCTATTGGAGCAGCTAGGTTGCCTAGCCAGAGTACCATTTGAATACATCCCTGATGATTCCAAAGGAACGTCTAGTTTCATTTCACCAGATCCAAAGTCGTTCAATTCAATCCCACAACTAGATATTTCATCTAAACATGATCTGCTGCTACATTTAGCTTGACTACCAGGAGACTCCAATGACAGTTGGAGTACTTCACTCTTCATTTTAGAATTCATATCATCATTTATCTCACAATGTTTGTTCACCGACTTGTAACCCTTCATGGGAGTTGGGGATGGTGTGTTCTTAGGAATCTCATTGAGAGGTACTCTCTTAATCCCATTAATGTGAGCCTGGTTTCTGTTTTCATCTGTATCGTTAGCTCTGAAACAAGTAAAATCAACACATATCAAAATACTATTTTTAATTTAGCCATCTACAAACAGTAAAACAAGATTGGAAAAGAAAAAACAATATACCTGTCCACAAGAAAATATCTTTTACTGCCCAAAAAAATTGAGTTCAACATTTATAAATGAACGATATTTACTTGATTTTGATGCAAAACAAAATATAGCAATCTGACGACTGACTCGAATTTCCTGTTCAAACATTAAATTCAGCCATCCACGTTCGTCTTTTTTTTTTTTTTTACTTCGTTTAAACGTAGTTAAATGAAACAAGATACATACATTTTCTTCTTACTTTTTTCCAAAACAAACTAAGAAGGAATTAACTTTGTTTAAGCAGCCCAATAAAAAAAATCACTTGAAAATGAAAAAACATGACACATAATTGAACTTACTTTTGAATTTTTGGAAAGTGATCGGGTGGGGAGGTAGACCACAATCGTGGTCTTTTGCTGTGGAGAAGTGCCTTGGCAGCTCTGAATTTTTGGGAGATTCGAGCCCTCTGCTCCGCCGATAATTCACCTCCACCGGGTGAAGCCACCACATTCTCCTTGTTCATTTTTGTGTTTCCTCCTCGAAAAGAAATTGAAGCCAGTGTGAATTACTGTAGGTAAAATTGAAATTTATTGGAACCCTAATTCGAGCCAGTTATGCCAATGGCTTTCCCTCCCATCTATGTGGCTATGCAAATTTGAATTTGCAGAAATTTTCACTTGTGCCCCCCAAGGTTTAGCTAAGTAAGTAAAAGTGCATTTTTATTTTTATTTTTAAATGTGAATCACAAAAATGCGTGTTTCAAAAATAGTAAAAGTTGTAGGTCCAATATAAAGTATAAATCCCGTGAAGAGATATGCGATTAAATTCAAATTAAAAGCAAAAAATTAACCTTTGAAATAAGGAATATCATTTGTTTATTCCATAATATCTTACTCTTTTCAAACAATTTACTATATTCATTATTCGTTGGGGACAACTGCCAAATTTGCCCTAATGCATTTCATTCCCTCGTCTCTAGATTCACACGCAATTATATAAAGGTATAGAATAGATTTTTGGATATTTGAAAGTCATGTACTTTAATCAAATTGGCACTACGTCAGATTGATAGCAAACACACGTGGTGCCGATGAGTTAACAGCAAAATTGAATTTTTTTTCCGAAAAATTGCACCTGGACAAGCGCTAAAGTATGAATAAATATAAATTTTAATTAAAATGTAATTTAATTATAAACTTTGACCAACATGGTCTCAATGAGGTGTAAGAAGAGTATACTTTCAGGACTAAAATTTATGAACAAGGTGAGTGTGGGCTTTCAAGTGGGTTAACCTCGTCGAGACTAAGTGTCTGTTCTCTTTATCATTTTCAAGCTATTTTCTGTTTTCGATTTTTCAAAACAGTGAAAATGAGTTCTCTTTCTTATTTTCGAAAACAAGTTTTTGAAAACAAGTCAAAAATTTACAAAAAAAACACAAACAACAAATTTGTCGTTTTGAGTGTTTTCAATAATTTCAAAATGAACACTCAAAACACAAAATTCAAAATGAATTAAAAATTCAAAACGCAAAATTGAAATATAAAGAGAACAACCCTAATTTTTCAAAGTCAAAGAAAAAAAAAGGTAGAAATTAACAAAATATTGTTTGTATAGAGTTGTATACACTGTATATAGTATTTTTCAATATGATAATTAAAAAAAAGGAGTTAAAAATCGGCATATAAAGTGTGTTATTTGTTATTTTCGATTATGGGTAGTTTAGTCTTTATAACTAATTTTAATGATAAATTTATAAATATTTTAATAAAACTTTACAAAAAAATTCAGTTACCATTTCATTTTTATCTAAAAATTTATTTTCTCTTTCTCATTCATGCATCCCTCCATAAGTTAACATTTAGTGGAGTCTTCTCGCAGCATCGTTTATATAATTTTTTCCATTTTTATTTTTTACATAAATTATATAAATTTATTAATAATATTATGTATTATTATTTTTCTATGTAGTTTACCCACATAACATTCACGATAGGCCGTTGTTTGACAACTATTAAAATGAGTTTATTTGGTGAAATTTTTTTCTAGAGAATGTGCAGTTGAAAAGTAAAAAATAAAAAATAATTAGGTTTACGTGCAGAATATTTTATTATGAAAATGAGTTTGAAAAAAAAAAATTATTTTAATGATCGTCAAAGATGGGCTAGATACCAAATCAATTATAATGCATTCTTAACACTTTTCTAATTTGCAAAATTACCTCAAAATAAAAACGAATAAAAATTGGTTGTTAGCTCAAAATAACAAATAATTGCAAAAAAAAAAAAAAATCTTATATTTATGTCAACATTTTTCACTGTTATTGTGGAAAAGATTCTTAACTTTCATTTTTTTGGCATGTTCACCCTTATTTGCACAGTTTATTGCGCAAAAGGTCATTTCATTAATTTTCTCTATTAAAAATTGTGAAATAACGAATATATCATTCTCCTTGAATTTAAAAAAAAAAAAAAGAAAAAAAAAAAAAAATAAAAAAAAAAACAAAAAATTGCAAAAAAAAAAAAAAATCTTATATTCATTGAACAAAAATATTAATTAGAAGTAGCAATAAAGAAATTTTTATTTGTTTTACAATGCTAGAGGAGTCAAATGAAGTGTTTTCTATTTTTTTTTTTATATTCTATTAACTTACTAAAATTAAATTTTATTGATTTATGTCATAATTCATTGGAAAATGAATAAATTTTATGAATCTCACAAAAAAAAACCATCATTTAAAGGAAAAAAATTTGTTAAGAGAGTGATAAAACTTGTGACCTTTGGCTTTAAAGAAAAAACCATCACATTCAACTTCTAGTAATCTTGTACCTCGTGAGATATTTAGTGGGTGTTTGATAAGGATTAAAATTATATTTTTAGTAGATTGTGATATAAATTTTTGAAATGTATGGTTAAAAAATTGTGGGACCCATAAAATATATGGTCAATATTGATTATTTGATTTTGACTTAAATTAAAAATTGATTTTAATCTGAAACAAACAAGGCCTTAGTATGTTCATTATCAAGTTCGAAATCGCTACTCGATATCCACTGCATCTATACAATATCTAAACAAGTCGAAAAATCCCTTGGATCGTCATTTCCCCCATGAACATATTCAAAATCAAGAAATTAGTTAGCTAATTATAAGAAAAATGAATCGAATTAATTAGAAAGAAACGAACTCTTGGTATGGTTCATAAAGGAGGCCAAGTTTGGTAGGTAAAACATGCGGTCTTGATGCAATGAAAGTGAACCCACCACGTGGGTATGTAAATAGCCTTAAACCCAATACGTTCTACCATCCTTGTTTCGTAACTTAATTATACATCTTGTGGGCTTCTTTAATTATGCATTCTAAATTAAAATTTCTTCGACTTCGATGATAAAGGTCATCTCACTTGATTCCAAAATACAACCGACAATATTTTAACTTTTTTTCTCTCTTAGTACATTCTAGAGACTAACGATATCAAATATGACGTAATGGTCGACTTCACGGTGTTATGACAGTAATTCGCGAAGGAGTGTTTAAGTAAAAGCTTTTAACTAACTCTCTTCTCCTCTACCTAACCACCATACAACAGGCTGAGAATGCAAGTTGATTGGTAGCTAATAAACATTCAAACTTGCCCACCTCTCTTTATAGAGTCGTGTGTATATATATGTAGAGAGAGAGAGAGAGAGAGGAGAAGGTGAGAATAGAGAGAGGCTGGGAATAGAAAGAGTAAGCATTTTGTTTCTTAACTAGCTTTTACACTTTAAAACACGCACAAATATACTTATATATGCATATGTATACATGTATTAATCCTATGCAATCTGTGTATAAACAAACGATTTGCAGCCTCTGATAACAGTTTGTTTGTGCAGTGGGTACAGAAATTGTGATGGTTGATGAAATCCCTTTTTCACTTGGAGTCACTATTGTCAAGCCATTGTCTTTGATTGGTCATGGTAAGATCAAACACTCACCCCCTTTAGATGCCATTATGTCAAGGACAAAATCGCAGGTCGGTTAAAATACAAAATATTAACTAACACGTAAGAATTTGGACAACTCTTCTTAATAGGGTTGATCGTTTAAGATAGAAAATGAAGTCCAATACATTATTTCTTGGATCAGACGTCGAATCATATATTTTACCCTTTGGATCTTTTTCGTTGAACCACCTAATTTTTAGTAGCTAAATATTTTTTAGAGAAAACACAAATTTAGATATTTAGCCTCCGTTTGGTAACCATTTTTCTACAGAAAAAATGCATTCTTTGTGTCAATAAGAGTAAGCATTTTGTTTCTTAACAAGCTTTTACACTTTAAAACACGCACAAATATAGTTATATTTGCATATGTATACATGTATTAATCCTATGCAATCTGTGTATAAACAAATGATTTGCAGCCTCTGATAACAGTTTGTTTGTGCAGTGGGTACAGAAATTGTGATGGTTGATGAAGTCCCTTTTTCACTTGGAGTCACTATTGTCAAGCCATTGTCTTTGTTTGGTCATGGTAAGATCAAACACTCACCCCCTTTAGATGCCAGTATGTCAAGGACAAAATCGCAGGTCGGTTAAAATACAAAATATTAACTAACACGTAAGAATTTGGACAACTTTTCTTAATAGGGTTGATCGTTTAAGGTAGAAAATGAAGTCCAATACATTATTTCTTGGATCAGACGTCGAATCATATATTTTGCCCTTTGGATCTTTCTCGTTGAACCACCTAATTTTTAGTAGCTAAATATTTTTTAGAGAAAACACAAATTTAGATATTTAGCCTCCGTTTGGTAACCATTTTTCTACAAAAAAAATGCATTCTTTGTGTCAAATCACACATTTTTTGTATCTCTCTCCAGCCATGGACCACACTTGATGTGAAAGAAAAAATGTATTATATGAAAAAAGAATGACTCCCAAACGAAGTCTGATTGTTTGACTTTGAATTAAATTAAAATCAGATTTTAATCTAGAAAAAATGTATTATTTGAAAAAAAAAATGGCTCCCAAACGGAGCCTTAAATTATGTTTTGATCATATGCCTAACACGTGCATAATTTTCATAAATTGTGGCGACGAGCTTCGATTCAAAAGTAACTTTTTTTCTGAGAGCTTAAATAAATTAGTAAAAATAATAATCAGACCTAATTTATAGAGGGCAGAAGAAATTCTGTAGTGTGCAGTTTGAAAAAGATATTTGGATGTTTCTGATGAATGAAATTTGTAAACAACAGGAATTACAGACATTGAGATACATTACCTCCAAATTAAATTCACTGCAATTGGAGTTTACTTGGATCCTGAAATTGTGGCTCACTTACAGCAATGGAAGGGTAAAACTGGAACTGATCTAGCTGAGGATGATGACTTCTTTGAGGCTTTAATTAGAGGTAAAAATTAAATGTTCTGTGCTAAGCCCTACTTTTAATTATTTATTTATTCGGATTGGGTGAAGGTGGAGTCGGGGGTCGTGTTACACACACGTTTAGTATGCTAGACAAGATAGTAGCAGATAAAATTAAGTGAAAATCTTGTCCATTATATGGTAGAATATTATTGTGTGCTTTGTACCAACTATAGCCTTAGGCTACGTTTTGTATGCGTTACCAAACACAAAGATGTGGTCAAGTTATCATGGTACAAGTCTCAAAGTGGCATATTGATGAAATCACCCGCGCAAAATTTTCTTCGAGTGTAAACATCATAAGCTCTTCGAATAGAACTCAATATTAACATTGGCTTGTAACACGAGGATGTGCTTATAAGCAGTAAAGCATGATTCCACGAGTGATCTAGATCTTAGAAGTAGTTGGTACATTAAAGTTCGTATAGAGTGTTGATTCTTACGGGGACATTGATCCCTAAACAATGAAATATGCCTTGGGTCACTTGGCAAAACTTTTGAAATGCCGAAAACTACTTCTGAGACTAACAAATTGCTTTTGAACATATTTTAACTTTTCTGCAAGAAGCAAAAGTCCTATTAAACGGCCCTAAATCTATTTGAAATTAAACTTTTCAGCCCCAGTAGATAAGTTTGTGAGAGTGGTGGTGATCAAGGAGATCAAAGGTTCGCAGTATGGAGTGCAGCTAGAGAACGCGGTGAGGGACCGGTTGGTAGCTGTTGATAAATACGAGGACGAGGAGGAAGCAGCACTCGAGAAAGTAGTTGAGTTCTTCCAGTCGAAATATTTCAAGAAAAATTCCGTCCTAACATTTTACTTCCCATCTACTTCTCGAACTGCTGAGGTAAATTTGAAGTCGACTACATTTTGCAACTTTGCGCGTGCATCTTTTGTTTTACATATGTTGTTTATTCGACAGATTGTATTCGCAACAGAGGGAAAAGAAGAGTCGAAACTCAAAGTGGAGAACGCAAATGTTGTTGAGATGATACAGAAATGGTACTTGGGAGGAACCAGTGGTGTCTCTCCTACAACTATCTCCTCCTTGGCCACTGCTCTCTCTGCCAAATTATCAAAATGAATGTGACATTTAATGTTCAGAATTTGGACTTCGAATGCTTGCTTATGATTGCTTGTTCAATAAATTGTGAATTGGCTATTAAACCTTGAATTTATCATACATTGTGTTTTAAATTCAATATTTTCCCACTTTTTTATTCTGATTAGATTGAGGTAATTTTCATTGTCGGATTGGCTGATGCTTGCTTTCTATACGTAATATCATACTCGAGCATCGCATTTTAATCTTCTATTTTTCAAAGAAAGAGTGCGAGCGACTATACACCCAGGCAAAGAATTTACTCGTGGTTTTTGATGTATCGTCCTTCTTGGAGCAACTCTTATGTGACTCAATTACGCAACAAACTTCACTGGTATTAATGCAACGACAGCTTAAGTTGTCCACCGTGTTAAAATTATAAACTACTGTACACTTTTGCATAAGAGTATAAATTTTGAGAGTCGAGTGTTTGGTCGACGAAAATCTTCTGAGTTGACTCACTAGGTGAATTTAAGTCAAAATAATTGGCACTACATCAAATTAGTCTTTCTATGCCAAAAAAAAAAAGATGATGGATGCTAAGAATGGGAAAATATTCGACGCCTTTTTTTAGTAATTTATGACGACTTACGTCACATTTTTAAATCTCAGAAAAAGTAAAACATTTAGCCCATGTTTGACAATCAGTCTTTCTAAACTCCTTTTTTTCTTATACTTATTTTCAATTATGCATTCTCTCAACAAAATATTCTTCACGTAAATCTAAAATTTTTCCTTATTTTTTAATCACAGATTCTCCAAAAATTTAGGGCATGTTCTCTTTACCGTCTTCGAATCGTTTTCTGTTTTTGGTTTTCCAAAACAGTGAAAATGCGTTCTCTTTCCTATTTTCGAAAAAACGTTTTTGAAAACAAGGTAAAAATTTATAAAGAAAACTCAAAACGACAATTTGCCGTTTTGGGTGTTTTCAATTATAATCAAATCAAAATTTTCAAAACGCGTTTTGAGTGTTTTTAGTTTAACGTTACCGCAACCACCATCAAAGCCGCATGCACCACACCACCACTGTCGCCGTAACCACCACCATTGCCGCCTAAACCACACCACCACAAAAATCACCGCCACTGTCGCCGCCAAAACATCACCACAACCGTTGCCGCCTCCTGCACCACACAACAGCCAAATCCGCTACCACAAAAAATGTATTTGAAATACTAATATGAAGAAAAATATGTGGTTAAAAAGTAAGGAAAATTTATTAATGTCATGAAAAATATTATTTTATTAAAAAATGTGTGGTTGAAAATGAATTATGAAATAATGTATTATGGAAAATGTGCCAAACAGGGCCTTAATATATTATAGATATAGATTATCATTAGTTGTACTTAAAATTTATTTTTATGTAATCATATTTGCTATAATTATTTTAAAATAAAAGGTAATATTAATTAAACATCAAAATTCATAAAACTACAAATTATTTAATTAATTAAGGTTAAAAATTTAAAATTGATATTTTATAGATAATTGGAGATTCTAAAAGTGGAGGTATAATTATATTCACAATTTTTATAAATTCCACAATATTTTAATCGCACTTAAGATCCTAAATCTTTGCTCCTTATAACACATATATCAATAAATATTTTCGACTTGTTCTTATCATCATTATTTGAACCACATTATTTTCGACCCAATATATCATCATTATTCGTCTAAAAGGTTCGTTGAGTGGATATAAATGACCTATTTGTCCATCATATTTAAAAAATAAATAAATGTAAAAGAGTGACAATACTCATCTGAAAGTTCAGAGACAAAATGTTTAACAATGATGAGATGTGATAATTAATTTAAACTTGAATAAGAATTTGATGAGAAAAAGGAAAGAACACAGTTGTTACAAAATGAGCCAAAAAGGAAAGAACACAATTGTTACAAAATGATCCAAGGTGTAGGCTCGTGTGCAATTTAAATGTTGTGACTTGTGAGAATATCATTACATAATGCAAAATCTAAGAAGCTGTCCTTTTGAAGCTTTTTAAATATTATTACCCGTTCGGGAGGGATTAAAAGCCAATTAAAATTGAAAATATGGCCGTTATTGGGTCCCACTCATCTAATAAAAGTCAACAATAACGGCTATATTTTCAATTTTAATCTGATTTTAATCCCTCCCATAGAAGGGCTAAATATAATTAGGTTTCTTTTTTTCTTTTAGAATTTACCAAATACCAAAACTTGTTTAAATTTCAACAGTTCATCACTTGTAATATTTCACTAGTTCATGTAATATGTCAAATTCATGAAAAGAGTCATGTTAGTTGTACAACCGAGGCACTCACGTGGAGGTGGGGTGGGGGGGTTCACTTTTTATTTTTTGAATTTTTTAAACATGCGAACCCCGCACACATGTAAGAGATTGTCAACTTCGATTGTACAAATAGAATTTTCCTCATCTCACGTGACAATCAATTTTCAACATAATCGTTGCGTGAAATGCTAACTTATCACTACGCTAATAATATTTTAATAAAGAAACACGTCTTTATCACTTTATCTAAAGAATTAAACTATCTGTACACCTTTTTCGATAGATTGATGACGTGAAAGCTTTATAATTGTTGAATTAAATGCGTAAGATGTGAAAAATGATGTGAGATTGTGTTCTGTATAAATTTGATAAGTTAGGGTGTAAATCATGATGTATATGTAGTAAGATTCTTAACTAAAGGCATGTCATGACCTTCATGGTATTATTTTCTCATTATTTGGCTTTATTTTAATGAAATTATAATTATTTTTATTTACATAATTCCAAAAAGCATTTTTTTTATTTTCTCATTTTTATTTCTTTTAAATAGAATTTTAAAATAATTCGCACGCCCGCGTTCATCGCTGAAAAACACTGCATTTTGCAAGCAATAACGAACGGCAAGACCCTCTCTCTCTACATTTCACAGATATAAATTGACTTAAAGATTTATATTAATTTATTATGCATACATATAGAATTTTGGTCTTCCAAACTGTAGAGAAGCTGCTTAGCATGGCTGCGTAACTTTCCCCTAAATTTAAATAAATCATTTTTCTCAAATCCCACGTAGATAATTTGCAGCTGGTTCTGATTCTGTAGAAAATCGAAATTCAGACCTACAGGTGATGGATTTAATTTTAATTTCGTGTAGATTTTTTAATTTGATTTTATCCTGGTGAATCACGTGATTTTGATCGGATTATTGGATACTTGTTCAGGGAAAAATTGAAAAGATGAGTGAGATCAAAGGGTTTCAATTGGGGACGATAGGGGCTTTGACTCTGTCAGTCGTTTCGTCAGTTTCTATCGTGATATGCAATAAAGCACTAATGAGCACTTTACATTTCATTTTCGGTGAGATTTAATACTCAATATTCGGTATTTTTTTATTTTCTTCTTCTTTTAGAAATGATATTTTTGTATTATCATGATTTGAATGTTCTCGTAATTACTCTATATATTGCTTCAGGCAGATACGTTTAATGCTTAACAAGGGTGATTACATTGTTTATGTTCCCTTTCCGCTCGTCTCTAATCCTTTATGAAGAGTGGAATTAATTCGAGGAACTGTGGTAATGCTGTTATTTAGAAAAGGGGGTTCTTGTCAATTTTTGAAATTGTATCATTATTGAACTCGGAATGAGGCTGCATAAGTCCTTAGTGATTGCTTTTGTTACTATAAGTATTGTTTCAACGGAGCATGCTTAGTTGAGCATGCCAAACATGCTATAAGTCATAAGAATATAACTTTTGTTTCATCCAGCTTTTGATTTTCAGTAGAGTAGTTTATATTATTTCTTAACCTCACAATTTGATGATTTTATTAGATATAGAAAGGAAGAAGTCTCTAAACTTGATGCTGACTTGTTTTGTTGAACTTTTCTTTTGGAAATGGGTTAATTATTAATAAATAAATAAAACGATAAAGTTAAGAAGAAGATGATGTGATATGAGTTTTTTTTTTTGTTTTTGAACAGCTACAACTTTGACAAGCTGGCATTTACTGGTAACTTTCTGCTCTCTTCACCTGGCATTAAGGTTGAAATTCTTTGAGCACAAACCAATAGAATCACAAACTGTAATTGGATTCGGTATTCTGAATGGGATTTCAATTGGATTATTGAACCTCAGCTTGGGTTTCAATTCTGTTGGTTTCTATCAGGTATAAATTGCATTTTCTCTATCTCTTTGCTGTCTACTTACAAATGTTCAACATTGAACCGTTTCTTACTAATGTTTCCGAATTGAGAATTTATTATTTGATTTTACTAGATGACAAAGCTGGCAATCATCCCTTGTACAGTACTGTTGGAAACGCTTTTCTTGAGCAAGAATTTCAGGTGGGTCACCACAAATTTGAGCCCTTTCTGGGCAAAGCAGTTGGCATCTATTCGCTTCCTAGATATTCCATCACTTTCATAGTTTATGCTGGCTCCTAGATCATAATTACGACACATATTCTGGAACCTTTTGTCCCCCCATTTGTTAGATTTTATTGCAACATACAGTTTGGAACCTTTTCTCCTCCATTCATTAGATTTTTGGAAAGCTTCATCAAATGGATCTTTATTTCCAAATCCATTAACCATTTTGATCTGCATAGTCCTTGAAAGATGTATGACAGAAACCATCCCCTAAATGAACCAGTAGGTTGCTGATAAAGGATGATCACTGGACTTTCCCATGAACAAATCATGACTTTGGCAGAACATAATATGCAGCTCTTTGACTTATGAAAACAATATACATGACAATTAACGGGACATTTTCATGTATTTTTCTTACTTGTAACTTTTAATTAGACATGTGCAATTTGTCTCTGGATTCCTTTAGATTAGAGTAGATCTTACTTTTGTACAAGTAACATTTTCTTTCAACTTTGGATTTTTTACTAATAATTTCCATATCTTTTCTTTTGCTATATTGCATTTATTTTGCAGTCAGAGCATTAAGCTTTCTCTGACAGTCCTGCTTCTAGGTGTTGGGATTGCAACTGTTACTGATCTACAGCTCAACATTCTGGGTTCTATTCTTTCTCTTCTTGCAGTTGTCACCACTTGTATTGCTCAAATTGTATCCTCGTTATAATTGGTTCTCTTCTTTCACCGCATGCACAACCTACTAAATCTTAACTTTTGATTTGCATGTTATGAAGTCAAATTTATACAAGGGATGCTAGTAGTTTGCATTACGAGAGTGATAAGGAGGAGTGCAGTAGCTTTCGACATAAGAAGCTTCTAGGATCTCAGGATACTCGAGAGGGCTCAAATTCTTCATGTGTCAATTGAAAACTAAGTAAGCTCAGCTGCTGATGCAAATTGATAATGAACTAATTACGAGAGAACTAGAAGCCAAGCACTGCGATGATGTGACAACATACAAATACCCTTTGGCTACCCACTATAAAGATTGGATTCTTATTCTTATTCGTTCTTATTTCTAAAGAAAAGCAAAAGGGACCTGTTTCACTCTTTGTTGGATTAAAAGTTCAAAAATATGAAGGCACTGAGATTTTATTAGCCCTCCACAATATTCATGCACTATCCCAGTTGGGAGTCCATGCCAGAATTCAGACATTGGGATATTTATCAATCTCATGACATCAACCTCTTCTATAACATCCCAAAATTTAGAGTGAACCTATTAGGATACTTGTCAAAGGAGATCATTCCCCCTTTTCACTTTTCTGTAGACATCTCTAAGTTTTTTTTATCTATTCATCTGAATCTCATAATCCCTTGATGCATGGCCCTATTGAATGGGAGAAACAATCTAAAGCAAACTAAGACCAAGGGGGACTGGTAAACTGAGCAGAAAATATTCCCAATATGGTCTCACATATCTTAACATCCTTTTTATGCCCAATGTTCTTTTTTGTTTGCATTTTCTACTTTATATGAATCACATCATCATCTAGCAACATTTCATGTTCTTTATTTCTTATCATTTTGTAATTTTGTATAAGCTAATTTACTGAAGAGGGAGAGGTGGATGACATGGTCTGTTGTTTTTGTTGTCGTATTAATTAATGCATTCTGAGTAAGTATTTATGAAAAGTCTATTTTAGGCAAAATGTTTCTTCTTGCATTAGAATTGCTGCTTTTGATTGTGGAGCTTAACAGTTCTTTCAGATGACCAATACCATCCAAAAAAATTTCAAGGTTTCTTCAACCCAACTGCTGTATCAATCTTGCCCTTATCAAGCAATGATCTTGCTCGTCTCTGGTCCATTTCTGGATAGGTTTTTGACTAAACAAAATGTTTTTTCTTTCAATTATACACCAAAATTAGTGGTAAGTAGTTAAATTTATAATATCTGTCACTTTTTTCGTTAATAGAATGTATATGAAAACCTGATATCATTATCGATATTGCAGTTTTTCATTGTTCTGTCCTGCTTGATCTCCGTCTCTGTTAATTTTAGCACATTCCTTGTGATTGGGAAGACGTCCCCCGTCACGTATCAGGTTCTTGGACACCTTAAAACTTGTCTAGTATTAGCATTCGGTTATGTCTTACTAAGTAACCCATTTAGCTGGAGGAACATTTGTGGGATAGCTGTTGCACTCGTTGGGATGGTTTTGTATTCATATTTCTGCGTTCTCGAGGGTCAGAAAAAAGCTTCCGAAGCTCCGGTACAACCTCAGGTACTAGATGTGCTATTGCATTTTTATCTTCAATGAGACAGACATGTAATGGCTACATACTCGTACTGATTTCTGTTTTTTTTTTTGTTGGTCCAACTGTCAGCGAAAGGATCCTGAATCTGATTCTCTTTTACATGATGAGAATGGCAGTAGGACATTAAATGAAGTTGATGTCCCAAAGGCCACTGCATGGAAATCTGACAAGGATTTACATGCTTGATATAGATGCATCTTGTATTGCTTTGCTAGAGTGGGATAAAATGAAAGCTTTCCCTGGTCTCAAAATGGGTTACTGGAACTCCTGTATTTGGGAGTAAGTATTGCACGTTCATTTGATTGGTAAGCTGGATAAAGTATCGGTTCCATCCCCATGGCCAGTTCTTGAACCGGAGTATAGCGTGATGCATATTTTGGGATATCTTTTATTAAACATATAATAAATAAGCCGGGAAAAATCCTGGAAGCAGTTTCTTGTTGAAAAACTGATGATGATAATGGCATTATTGTTCAAAAGTATTTCTCCCCTTTCTATACTTTTATATATAACCCCTGTTTGGTTTGAATTAAAATTCAATTAAAATTTCAAGTCAATGTCAACAATTAATTTTAACCACATATTTTATGGGACTCACAACTTTTCAACTACACATTTCATCATTTTTGATCAAAATCTACTAAAAATCTGATTTTAATCTCTATCGGTAATGGTACAGAGTAGGAACATATTTATGTTAGTGAAGTTGCCACTTCATAAAACTGGGTTTCTGCTCCTGGTTTTCCAATTGAATACCATCTCTTTATAGTATATGGAGTAGTTATATATTTACGAGTTAATCTATTTGTACATAATGGATTATCCCCTATCACATAATGTGTTGGGCCCGTGTGTATTTAAAAATTCCGACGATGTGGTCCACATTCTCATTGTGAATATTATGTAAAAGATTACGTAAAATAAATTCGATATATATAGCATCATCCTGTATTTACGTCAGTGAAGTCGCCACTTCTAAATCAGGGCTTCAAGCACCTGGTTTTTTCCAATTGAACGCCACTTGTTTTAGTCATGATGCCTTGATATAAAAATTGAAAGAGGGAGTAGGTGAAAAGTAGTGGCCAGTGGGGTTTCTTCCTTTTCATATTTAATGATTTTTTATTAAACATGAATGAAAATAAATTTTGCAAAACTTGCCATCCGTCAACACACACATGCACTCAAAATAATCGCGCGTCTAATCGTAAAAGTATGGGTTCAGTGCATCGCGGGTCATCTAATTTTGAGCAAAATTGTACCAGAATCAATCGTATTTGTGTGGTCACTCAATTTCGATTTCTTTGCTAATCTAGTGACTTTGTCTAATATCCTTAATTTACTTAATTTAACAAATATAATATACTCGTATTAAAGTTGAAAGTAACTCAAAGCCGATATGTAAAATAAATTATTTATTCCTTATTTGTACATAGCGAAAAATAAATAATTTATTTCCTTTTTACTTTAATCCTTGAAAAATTATTTTGTTTTAAAACTTACCTATAGTGAAGTTTGAGCAAATTGCATAAATGTCAGGTTTATAAACAATTATAGAGACACCACTCTTTTGAAAAATAGTGATTATATTACCATCACAAAATTCATTAAGTGCACCGTGAATTTTAACATTTTTCTTATTTACTTAAATAATTTTAAGTGAATTTAATATACTTTTAATTAATCACACCACTTTATAACCATACACATAGTTGTCAAACTCGACGCGAACAAAGATCTGAACAATGCATCGGGTCAATAGGTTTGTGGTTCAACCGGTGAACCACCGGGTCGTTGCATAAAAACCTACAACAAATATAAAGTATAAATTTTTTTTATGGGCAAAATAAAAATTTTTAATTTATTTTTCACTAATTATTTAGGTCTATAGACTAAAGTAAAATTTTGGACCAAAATTTTTTAAAAGAACATTTTTATAAAACCTATAAATGATTCATTAAATGATATAAGTTATAATACTAAAATATTTTATGTTCAAGTGGTGAGAAACCCATTATTTTCCATTCTAAATTTTAATTCGAAATAGAGATATTGAAATTAATTTCTATGATTAATTTTTATCCGACACTCGAGAGAGGGGGTATAATTACATTGAGTTCTTGCTTATAAACATGGAAAATTGATTAGAGATAACTAAGTTTTTTGAGAATCATATTTGATAGCTGAGTGAAATCATAACCCTAGGCTTCTTCACTTGATTATTCTTTTAACTTGCATTTATTTGTTGAATTCATCACCATCTTAGTTTAAAAAATACTGATTATAAAATTCATTCATTTAGATAAAATGGAGGCTATATAATTATAGCATTTAGGACGTGTTCGGTGGAGATTAAAATTGAAAAATTAGTCGTTATTGTTGACTTTTATTAGACGAGTGGAATTCAAGAACGGCTATATTTTCAATTTCAATTAGATTTTAAGCTTAGCCAAACATGCTTTTAGTATAAAATCAAATTCAATCCATGTGGGTTCGACACTCTTACTCAAATACTATATTACAAAATTTGACACCGTACACTTGCAGTATAATTCAAGTTGCATAAAACGCGTGACAGGATATGCCTGTGTTCAAAGCTTTCTCCTCGTTGGGGGTAGTGTCCTTCATCAGAACTATTAAGATTGTTGTTTTACAAATACTGGGAGATGTGTACATCACATATTTAATTTTCATTTTTAGTTTTTATTGTATTAAGAGTTTTTTTTAAAATTTTTGTTGTATTAAGAATATAATTGTAAATTTTTTGTGGTGTATTTATTAAAATTATAATTTAATTGTGGTGTGGTAATTAAATTTTGAGGTGGTAATATTCCTTTAAAAAATTTAGAAACCTCTCTCTTTTAACATAAAATTCCAATTTGTCCTCTCTAATCTCATACTCATATGTATGATTCTATTCTCTTTCAATATAAATTTCCAATTTGTCCTTCTCTCTTATCTTATAGCACGAGTATATTTGCTTCCCCCTCCCTAATTCTAATTTAAACAAAAATAAATTGTTTTACTTTTTCAAAGGTATTTTTTTCATCTTTTCTTATAAAGTTATTCAATCTTAGTCTTATTTTGTGAATATAGATTTCTTATTTAATAGACAAATTAAAAGATCCAATATATATAATAAAAAGATGAACTTAAAAAATATATAATTTAAATCTTTAATGCCAACTTTTTTTTTTTTCCATTTTAATATGATAATAATATTACTTAAAATTTTTAAAGTTAGTATATTATAAAAGAAAAGAGTGTAAAAAATACAAAAAATAGAGACAATTCTGCAAAATCAAGCATTATAAAGTGATTTATTAATTATTTACCAATTTGCATTTGGAAAAAAAAATGATTACTAATTTTATAATATGGATTATAATGGGTTTTTTTTAATTAAATTGGTTTCAAATTAATGAAAAGTATGAAAAATATGTATCTTAAGAAATAAGAAAAGAAAAATATATATTTTAATAAATAATATTATAAATTTAAAGTAAAATGAGGGATAAAATAGGAAATGTATAAATACTTTCAGTTGATAGGACAATAGGTAGAATCTCTTATTAAAAGTAAACTTCAATGGAGGTTTTTTGAAAAGTGAGGGGTGTCTTATGTAATTTTCACGTTAAATTTTAAGATTAGGCATCCTCTCCTCAATAAAGTTATTTGTACAAAGTTAAGTTACAGAAGTTAGGTTATAAAGCGTGATAGCAAAATTCACAATCGATTTCAAATTATTTAAAAATCTATTTTTAAAATGATCCAAGAATACCAACTTTATAACCAACTTTGTACACATAGGACAGGTCTCCTCTCCTCTCTCCACCTGTCGTTTGGCAAGTTTTCTTCTTCACAAACGTTACAGAAACGCTTGGAACCTTCGGCTATGGCTCTCCGGAACTTGCTGATCCGAAAAACCCTAGCAACTCCACCACTAGGAATTCTAGGGTTTCGCAGCCTAAAGACCTTCTCGCTTCCTGATCTGCCGTACGACTATGGAGCCCTTGAGCCGGCTATTAGCGGAGAAATCATGCAGCTGCACCATCAGAAGCATCATCAGACTTACATAACTAATTACAATAAAGCCCTTGAGCAGCTCGATGATGCAATGTCTAAGGGCGATGCATCGACCATCGTCAAGTTGCAGAGTGCCATCAAGTTCAACGGCGGAGGTCCGAATCGCTTTCATCTCCCTCTCTCTCTCTCTCTCTCTCTCTCATGACCGACAGTTTGTCTCTATTGGTTCATTTACTTGTTTCCGGAAATCGATTTTAGAGTATGATGAAAGACTTGTGTAAAGAAATTGAATTGATTGATGAAAATAAGGTGAGTAATATTACTGGCTAGAGGGCGTAATATTCTTATTTTTTAAACTGGTACACAAGTGAAAAATTATACTTCTATGTAGTGTTAGGAACACGTGCGTCAAAGTTGGCTTGCAACGAGAATGGAATTGAGACAATGCGGCTAAAAATTGGACACAAGTATTCCTAACAGTGGTATCAGAGTGAGGTTTTGTGTAGGGTCTTTGTTCACTATTTACATACACGATATTTTTTTCTGGTCGTGAACACAACGGCGAGAAAGTATGAAATAGAGAAGTTCAATGGGAGTAATTTCTTATTGTGGAAAATGAGAATAAAAGCAGTTTTGAGAAAAGATAACTGTTTGGCGGCAATTGGAGATAGGCCAGATGAAATCACTGACGACGGCAAGTGGTATGAGATGGATGGCAATGCTATTGCTAATCTACACCTTGCACTAGCTGATGGAGTACTGTCAAGTGTGGCGGAGAAAAAGACGGCAAAAGAGATTTGGGATACTTTGACAAAATTGTATGAGGCCAAATCACTACACAACAAAATCTTCTTGAAGAGAAAGCTTTACACCCTT